ACCGAACTGCCAAAATTTTAATGTTTTCTATGTTCATGGGTTGTTATTTGCCCAAACCACCTGCTGTCAGTTGCCCAGCAGTTTGATCAAAAGAAAATCTCCAATTTAAGATTGACTATCTCTGTTAAATTGACTTGCAACAACCTGTAGAGCAGCCTCAATCTCATTCAGGCATGTACTCATTTTTGTGTCTATTTTTCTGAAAAGGGTCCAGCTGCGGACACATCATACTTCATTGCCCTCCCCACTCCTCATGTGCATGTACTATAATAACAGTGCTGTTGTTGTTTGCTAATATCAGCTAAGATGCTAGTGCTACGTTGTTGTTTTTTTCCCAGGAAGGCTAAGGTATGACCAGCCCTACTCTGCTTTATTGTACTTACCCTGACATGCTTACCCTAACCCTAATCAATCTCACCTTCTGGCCTAAACGTATCCAATCCAATCCGAGCTAACGTTAACTGAGATGCTAGCAGACATGCTATGTATTAAACTTAAATCTAGAGTGACTAGCTAACATTAGCTGTTTGCTAGCCACTAGCTGAGTGTGTCAAACTGAAGTCCATTGTTGGTTTATGATTATTTTATTCAGTTAAACAATTAATATCCCTATTATTACTAATGAATTGGTCATCAGTCACTTGAATGTGCTGTCATCCATCACTGCGACTTCTGACAGTTGATGTGACGTATCATCTGTGCAGAGGATTGTGGGTCAGAACAACCAGAAAAGCATGCTGGCTTGCATACTGCAAAATCAGACCGGACGTAGTGGAACATCCTGGTATTTTTGAAAAAACTGCATTTGACATATTATGTATTGGGACATACTAAATCTTTTTCTGGCATACTATGTAGTATGGTAGTACAGGTACTGGAACGCACAGATCTGGTTGGGTTGGTTGCAGGCCCCCAGGAAGTGTGCCAGGCTTTGAAGCCAATTTTTGTAGTGGCCAAACAGGGAACTTCTGAGTCATGTGATGCCATTGAGCCCGAAATACTTTTTTCCCATTGACTTATATTGTCAAAGAGACGCGGGTAAATCAGTGGATTAATTTTTTGGAGCGTCACAGCCCACACAAAACAACTCAGTTTACGATCTGGATTTAATCCATTCGATCTGACGGAATCCGGCGGAAGTCTCAAGTGCGCTTGCTCTGTGGGCCCAATGATGCAGAAGCAGTGCTGATCATTTGGTAACTTTACGTGGCAGCTGAATGTTTTTGGCTTCATGTGCCACTGAGCAACTTTCATTCAGGAATGAAACAAGACTCAGGAATGAACAAGACTCCACTGCCAACACTGTATCCAGGTCTCTTTATACAACCATTGCTTGGTTGTCACTGATTTGCTCTGTTGCTCTGTCTGACTATTCGTGGTTCATAAACTTCCGCAGTAAATTTCATGCTAATAGAGCAAAGCAAAATTTTGCTCAATAATTAATCTATAGTATCATTACTGTATATATACAAAGTTGTGATGTTTGTAGCTTTGTGGTATGCACATTGGTGTTATATAAACACAAAATAAAAGCCTTTCACAGGTCTAGAAATATCTGTATCACACAAATGGCCAAGTCTATTTCTGTGTCTTGGCTTTTTAATGAAGTAAAGTTTTAGACAGGGGATGAAGATAAGCGGCTCAGTAATGCACAGGCCTCTGGAGATTAAAGAGATTTTATAGGTAAAGCAGTTACCTGTTTACTGATTGCAGAGGCAGCCTTTGTTCCCTGTAAAAGATAAAGGTACGGCTGCCTGTGGCTGTTTAGGAGGTTTGCGATAAAGGCTGGCACCTCTGGGACGGCACAGTCAGAGTTGGTGGGTGAGCACACCCGGCGTGATGTCATCATCTGTCTGCCATCATTTGTGTTAACGCACAGTGACATGAAGCCTGATTTACAAGAAAGAGCAGGATGTGGAAGGAGAACAGATGATAGGAAGTCAGATGATTCACCCGGCGGTGACAGAACGGCGACAGCAGTGGGAGTAAAGTTCCTTCACTTCATATGAAAAATATTAACTTAGAGAGTTTGAATCTGACTACAACTGACTGTAGTCCAATGAATAACACACTGCTGCTCCCCCTGCACCAGCATTATATCTATACTGCAGTTTGCCAACCTCAGAGCGATTTGGGTCACTGTTTGTCTAAAATTCTTATAGTTATTTATTGTAGGTCACTTTTTTTGTCGATCATGGATCAAATTACTGTGCGCAATGTAAACGGCGATGCTCAGAGTGACATTATCACTCAACCCAACAGTTCCCTCTTTAGCCTCTTTTAGCTTATTGTTTGGATTTACTCTCACTGCTCTCATTAGCCTCTCTTCCAGCTGCAGCAGGAAGGTGCTTTCAGCGACATGTTCAGCACCAAACAACAGGAAGTGTTATAATTTAGCTGCTCAAGAGCCAGCTATTTTTCTCAGGGCTTAATGGAAACCAAAACAGGACTAAAGAAAAGACTACTATTCTTCAGATGGCCAGAAACACATCTTCAAATGAATGCGAATGTTGCTCCGTGTCTGATGGACGTGTGAATAAGCACCTGTTTGCTAGTACATTTGCCATAAAAGCTATAGAAAGGGATATTACAGTATGTCACTGCTGTGTTGACAGTAAGCACCAAGTGTCAAGTTCAGCCTGTTACATGCATTTTCTTCTTTCATAATACTGTTTTCACAGAAAATGTATAGTTTGCATACACTCTCTTTCAAAATAAAAGCACTTCGTCAGTACAACACCGCAAGTTGACATGTTTTTCCTCCACAATAAAAGCACGTGGTTGGGTCTAGGAAAAAAGAACAGGGTTTGGCTTTACAATCTTACGGGAGGTGAACACCGGTCTCCTGGGTGAAAGTGACCACTCCCACCCACCCTACTCAGACCTTACTTCCCCTTAACTTACATTGTTGTCCCACCATGTTTCCCCTGGACGCTGCCGGGCACCATTACACAATAACGGCGACGGGCTGCATATCATACTGACGTGAAAGGACAGCTTTTTTAGTTGGTGTCTGACGCGGGATGTCACTGCCCAAGTGCTGATATTCAGCGACTTCGGAATGAGACCAGGTTGAACCATAGCGTTGCCCCAGATTCACAGAGTATAGGCAGAGCTGCAGCTGTCGCTATTTTAGTGTGTTTTCAGTTCATGAAAGTCAATGGTTACGATTTGGTCAGCTAAAAAAAAAGTCTCGTTCAGTGTTTGGTTGTACTAAAAGACCCTCCAAAGAGTCAGTTGCACATTTTGTTTTAATGGTTTAAGCCTTTTTTTAAGTACCAAAAATTGGCTAGCATTATTAAAGTTAACCAAAGCTGTAAATGCACTGTGCTAACCAAGCTAACAGCTAGCGTTAGGGTTAACTCCACCCTTTCTTCCAAATATGGTCACTTCTGGCTCCAAAAAAACAAGATGGCGACGGCCAAAATGCCAAACTTGAGGCTTCTAAATTGTAGTCCATGAACCAGTTGGTGATTTCATGGTGGCTTCATCCATTAATTTATACAGGGTGGGGATGACAACTTGTTGTGGTGCCACCAAGTGACCAACAAAGAACAAACAAAAAACAAAACTGAATGCAGTTTTAAATACTTTTTATTACATTAAAAGTTGGTACTGTTTATTTAAGTGATTTTAACTGATAGCCAGTTGTAAAAGCTTTAACTTTCACCTGTCTAACAATTTTTAAAAGTAGGAAAAATCACAGGAAGTGATGCGTTCTATGATCCCAGTTTTTTAGAGTGAACAAAAGAAGATCTCTACGGGTTTCCATGAGCAGTGAAAACCAGCATGGCCGACCAGAAATGACAGGCTACTAAACCAGGACACAAATTTCAGCAACACACAAAAAAGTAAAAGTCCTAGCATTGCTCACACTGTTTGATTGACAGGTGATCACTGCATAGCAGAGCAAAAGCACCCTGGCAGCCAACCGCTGAGCCGAGCCCAAGAAATGAGACTGCTTTCCAAAAATGACCTCATGGAAATGTAATTAACACAGGGTGAAATCATAAAATTAAAGGAAGTGCCATGGAGCTAAAGTGAATATTAAAAACAGGGAGGAGCTGCCGGTATGCCAGCAGGCCCAGACTTCATTAAAATGTGGTAGATGAACTCCTAAGCATAGGACATGAGGGGCTAAAATCACAAACACACACTTATATAGTTAGATTTTTTTAAATTTCAGTGTCAGTTTCTTTAAGAGTGGATGTAAGGGTTGGCCAGTAATGACAGTATGTCATATATGAGCTGTTAAGGTTATGAAATATTAGTTTTCAGCATTTCACAGTGAATTATGTCCATTTTAAAGAAGGCAGAGAAGTCCCATTTAACATAGTGGCACAAAATACTGTCCACTGGGCTTTAGATTTGGCCTTTAAGGTATGAGAACCAACTTTAAACTCCTTAAATCATGAGTTAGAGTGAATTAATAACCAAAAGTATGATTTTCTGGTGTTTTTAATAGATTCTTCTTTGGTTATTTCATCATAATATTAAAAATGTTAGTTTTCGACTATGTTTTTTTTAACCTCTCATATTATATTCATCATCTGAAGGTCACAGTTTAAGCACCTTGTCTTAACTCAAATCTGCCACAGAGCTCTCTGTTGTTATTTTTTTATGTCAACAGCTGATACACACAATGCTCAGAGCCCATATGGATGTGACAGGTAGGCTGCTGGAGCTGACTGCAGCCTGCTGTTTTTAACATCCACTGTTAGCTGTGGTTACATTTTAACAGATAGGCTATAATTAATGTTGGCAGATAAGTTGGTCACGTGATGATTTGCTCTTTCAGTTCCTTTTATTTAGATTTTTTTTTCAGAGCACATAATGGCTCAAGCCTCATTGATTCCTCCCTGCACGCTTATAATCTACTGTAACAAGCAGCTTCTCCTCCAGCTCTCATTCCTCAGCCTGCAGGCAGCAGAGACCGGCCTGATGTCCTACCTGTGGAGCAGAACAGGTGACAGTGTATGTGCGCAACGACGGACACTCACCAAGTGATTTCAGTGCGCTTCGCCGAGGAAAAAAACCACGGAGTCCGAAGTTGGAACTAGCCGCCAGTCACCATCTTCTGCAGGGACGAAGAAGAGTGCGTGCGGAGTGTCAGAGGGTCCGTGTGGTGCGACACATTACACTGCCTCATCACAGCTGACACCGCTGGACCCGCCGCGGAGTGGACCACACCGCGCTCACAGCACACGGACCGCCGAGCACTTCACTGTGCGCTCATTCCCAGCAGCAACAGGGAGGAGCGTCAGGTGCGCGCACTGAGGCCGGAGCGTACCGGAAGAGAAGGGATTTGGCCTTCAAAGTAAAAGCAGAGCAGCTGTCGAGATAGAGGAGAAGGGAAAAACTGTTTTGATTATTTCCATGAGGAAAATGGAACAAATGGCGTCAGGATATGAACAGAAATAAAAAATTAATAATCTTAAGTATTATTCCACAAATGTAGCCTAACATTTACGGCAAAAAATAAATAAATTACATGTACTTTTGTATTTTTTTTAATAATATTATAAATATTTTGTGAGTGATAATAATGTGTTGCTCATACCTGTACAGAATATATTGATTTCAAAATAAATTAGCACTGTTTTATTTATTTCCATGAGGAAAATGGAACCTTCTAGACAAAAACAAATGGCGTCAGGATACGCACAGAAATAAAAAATAAATAATTTAAGTATTAATCCACAGATGTAGCCTAACATTTATGGCAAAACAAAAAATACTTCTATCTATCTAATCTATCTATTTATCTATCTATCTATCTATCTATCTATCTATCTATCTATATTTTATAGTATTATGAATATTTAGTTGATGATAATAATATGTTGCTAAGACCTGTACATAATATATTTATTTCCAAATAAATTAGCACAGTTTTGATTATTTCCACGAGGTAAATGGAACTTTCTAGATAAGAACAAATGGCATCAGGATATGCACAGAAATAAAAAAATAATAATAATTTAAGTATTATTCCACAGATGTAGCCTAACATTTACGGCAAAACAAACAAACAAACAAAAAGCTATATGTACTTATATTTCTTTTCATGATATTATAAATATTTTGTGAGTGATAATATGTTGCTCAGACCGACGATAATTATTTCCATGAGGAAAATGCAACCTAGACAAAAACATATGGCATCGGGATATGCACAGAAATAAAATGTGAATACATTTTTTAAGTATTATTCCAAAAATATAGCCTAACATTTATGCCTAAAAAACAAACATTTACAGCTATATTTATAAATATTTGTATTATATTGTAAATATTTTGTGAGTGATGATAATATGTTGCTCAGACCGACAGAGCTACACAGAATATATTGATTTCAAAATACATTCACTACAATATATGAATTCCTACTCTTTATGCCTAAAGGTAGCTTCTCTGTCTGACCTGAACCTCTCATTGTGTAGTATTAATAAAAATAAGCTTCACAGCTAAACAGCACATCATGTTTCCTGCTTTTTTCAGCTAAAAAATCACCATGATACAGTGTAAAGCTTCAAGAATAGTATTTTAATAATGTTTAAGGTTCACTTATTCAGCTCAGTATAGATTTTGATATTTATTTGTAGCCTATTGAATCGTACAAATATTATTTTTGTTATTAACATCACTGTTATGTACAAGTAGAGGGTGACAGTGTAGGAAATATACAGTTTTAAACAATAATCTAATAATGTAATAATAATGATTTAAAAATATGTTAGATGATAGATTTTAAAATGTTTTTTAATGTTAATATTTTTTAAAATATTTTGTTTTATTTTGAAGTCACATTGGTACCGTTTCCTGTGTAACTGGCTCCTTTATCTTGCCGCTGCTGCTCAGAGGTTTGTACCATTGTTTTGTCTCAGTCAGGGGCGCACTGTTCACACTCCAGTGTTAACGAATGGACTCGCCTCTTCACCTGTCGTTTGATAGAATTCGATCACAAGTTAATTTCTCCTCAATTCTAAATTATACGGATAATTTATTTTATCTTTCATCTCCATTCTTTCTTTCATTCTTATTGCAGAGACAATAAAACGCACTGGCACATGTGATGTGGATACTGCCACCTTAAATAGAAACAGAAAAACAGTGGTGCACTAAAAGCACAGGCTGTTATGGTTTCAGTCAACAGGCCTTTTTACATTCTCATTTAGTAAATGATGACAACTACAGTGTAGCCCAGCATTAACCCACTGACACACCTGCACAATAACCTCACAATCTGGCTCAGAGAGCTCCAGGACATTAAAATGAAATACATCATACTGATAACTATTCAGCCTAAGCAGACACATTGGGTCCTGGGATTATTATTAAAATATCAAACATATCAAAGATAAAGATGACAGCAGTGGTCACTTTAACCAATGTCAGTCCCTCGAGGAATGTTAGCATAACATTCTGGTTTCTTCTGAGGATGTTCAAAGCCTCTCTTTGCTCTCTGCTCTTAAGACAGCTGCAAAAAGAAGACGTGGAGAAGCTTTATCTTTGCTCCAGGTGAGCGCCTTCACAGTGTCTCTGAAGGTCAGACACAAACAGATGGAGGTTTACCCCCCCTGTTGCTTTAAACTCAGTGTCTGACCTTTGCTGCTGCGCCTGTTTACTCACTGGTTGCTACTTTCTTGGTGACATTTAATTAGTAATTTTTCTATTTGCTTCAATCTGGCTGTGTAATTGGGCCGTAGTGACTTTGCAGTGGTTGTGGTGTGCATGTGGGCGATTAATGCTTTCCCCTTATACTATTAAAGATATAAATATGCAGCAATGCATTGTACATATTACTATTAGGGTCTTATTGTTGAGCTATTATATGTGTATGCTATTCCTCTGTGTATAACATTAATTGATTTAATTCTCTTCATATAGTGTACATTTAAAATTTGCACACCTATGATACTGTCAGTCTCATTTCTAACTATATCAGTCAGTTTAAATGAAGCGTAGATCACATTATGTCATTTTAAATTATATTTTCCCCTCTTCTTTCTTACTCAGTGGTTATTAGAGATGTGCGTTGCTTCCACTGTGACTCTGCTCCTTTCTGATATGTTCCTCCTTAAGTATCCACAGAAAGGATCTAGTGACCCTTTAGAGGAGGAGCAGTGTGTGTGGATCACTGAGTATGAATATTTATTGCAACACAAATGGAAACAACATTATCGTAATATTCTTGTAATGATTTACTGGCTCAGAAACTACAGAATAATACACAGACCTCATTGTCTCAGTGTGGTTATTATAGAATATAAGTTATACCAAGTAATACCATTTTCTGAAACAGCCAGCCTGCACATATATCAATATATAGATATAATATAACAGTAAAATACTTTTCAATTTGATTGCAATTAATGTTGATAACAGTGGATATGCCATACAGTGTACATACAGTGTAAGAGAACATATTGCTTTTTATGCAGTAAAGTAGCAAAAACCTTTATTGCATAAAACACAGGCAATTAATAAAACCATCTGCTGACTGATTACATTTTAATTGATTTTGCTTCCTGTCAGCACGTGACACACACCTGGCTAGTTTAGTGAGTGATGTGTGTGAGGTGATGATTGGACTATATATAAATAGGCTATTAAAAATAATACAATCTTTGGAATGACGAATATGTAAATCACAGTCTGTGTGTTGTATTACAACAGACTACTGTTAACAGCAACGCCCTAAAGTGAGGTCATAGATGTATTAGTATTATTATTTCCAAGTTTACCCAGACAATACCGGAAGTAGAGTAAATACGCTGTTAAAATATAACTGAGAACGTCAATGTTGACGGTTTCTTCTGCAACGACAGCTTTCATACCCCCCCACGAATACGTTGCGATTCATGTCGACATAATCCCTCAAAATGTGCAAAGAAACAAACTGAAATAATGTGTTAATGCCCATACTATATAACATATCTACGTGTATGTATAAAACAAAGCTTTTATTTTGAAGGGAATGCACGGACATCCGCCTACTCATTTTAATGTACTTGACGACGCCATCTTGAATCGGACAGTTTCTTCATGAAGTTTTAAAGCTTTTACAACTTACATCGACATCGTGAAATAAACCAACATGGGAGCGTGTTTGGCCCTGGGTTCCCTGGCCAGTTGTGTAAGTAAACATTTACCGGTTGTTGTGTCGCTTTTTAACAAATGTATATTTTGTAATATTAACATTTTTGTGGCTAAGTTGGCTGCGCGTTGTTTAGCTAAGAAAACACTGCGTTATGATATCGACGCAACGTCAAGTGAAACTAACGATACAAGCTGATATTTTACTGCAGACGTAACGTTATGTGTCATGTGACATTACATTTAATTTAAATAGTTTAACACTAGTTACTGTTTTAATGTGGCATACATATTAAAGCAAGATAAACTTTAATGTTAAATCAATTTGAAATGTGTCTTCCCCTGTGAGGAAGTCGTTGAAATAAGCAACCCAAACATTTAAAGTTGACAAACTGCCGTTTTTTGAACATTATATTCAACTTAAACTGACTTTTAAACCGGCTAAATGTATTTAAATATATATAAGATGTTTAAAATGTTAATTTTAATAATGCTAATATCAGATATGTGAATACTGTTTAGTGTGAGAGCAGCAGGGCCGTCTGTGCTGTCATATGACTTAATGTACAGTAACGTTAAACTTTCAGGCCAATTTCTACCGTCAGTATTTTCATATGACTGCAGTCAGATAGTAATATGAACATAATATCACGCTGTCTGTTAGATATGCAAGGTGTTTTGTAGAGAGGCGCATTTCCGGGATTAACCCAGGCTCTGAGGCCGTCCCATCGGGAGTAGGGCGTCACTGGTTTCTGTGTTCTTGTGCTCATCTTAATCTGTCTTGTCTTGGTTTAAATCTGATCCTTTTGTTGTTTATTTACCCACATTGGACTTTTCCCACTCATATATGTGATATCTCTGACAGTGATGAAGGACAAGTGTGGGACAAGTGATTGTAGGTCAAATACACCCATATCCAGAAGATCCAACTGTTGCTTTGTCAACATATAATCATCAGCTACATGATAAAAATAAAGGAAGATTCCAAATACATCCACAAAAAGGTTATAACCATCTTCCAAACAGGGGAAGGATACAATTTCCAAGACAATGTATACTTACACCAAAGGGCAAGCCAAAATCTCAAGGCACCCCTGTAATTACATCTGTGCGCAATAGCCTCTATAACGTGTGTTAACACTCTTACCACGGCATAAATGTTTGTTCTTATTTACTTATATCAAATAACAATTGACAACCAAATATTACTCATGAAATATTTATTAGCACAATTATTTAAGAATCCATTTTAAACGTTTTACATCAAAGCACCAATAACACATTCATTTAAACCAGAAATAATGTAAGATAATGCAAGATAATGTGATGTGTCACACACTTATAATTCCCTGGCATGAACCGCAACAAATAGGTTCCCTGTGAAGGCCTTTAAATTACAATAAATCAGTTTGCATTTAGAGAGCAAGTAGAGTTTATCTCTTTATCAGGAAATGGGTGTGTACAACGTACTGATATAGTCAATTAAAAATCCATTCATAAGTTTTTGTATAGGTGCAGTTGAATATTGCAATAATAACGTGCGGTTATCACAGAATCCCAGGGCGCAGCTGGATTTGCATCATGGCACCATTTGAGAAGCACTGCAGTAGGTCACTAATAAAAGATGCAACTGTGGAACAGTTGTAAATTTTACCACAGGTAGACAGATCTCATTTAGATCAATATCTAGAGGGTGTTTTTTTTTTCATTTATATTATGATATTTTCAGTGTATTCCCTTCACTTTTCCTGTGATTCAGTGTTGGGCCTGGGCATCAGTACCTATTTTTGATAGGAGTGCCATATATTTCAGTATTGAAAACAAGATAATTTAAAGATAAACTTCTCAGATGTTAAAGGTTCAGTGTGAGGATTAGGGGGAATATATTTGCAAAAATAGAATACAATAATAGTATAATAAGTGTGTTTTCTGTAGTGTATTATAACCTGAAAATAGGAGCTGTCACCTTATGATGAGCCGTTTATATCTGCATAGGAAGCTGATCCTCGTCCACGGAGTCCGTCATGTTGCACTGCCATGTTTCTACAGTAGCCCAGAATGGACAGACGAAACACCGGCCCTAGATAGGGCCAATTCCGTTTTCATGTCGGCCATGATAGTGAGCATCCCCTCAGCGTCAGAAAAATACTGATTTTTTAAATATGTAACTGCTTAATTACATGCTTTTAGCATCATCGGGTCTGTTTGTTCTGGAGTAGAGGAGACCTCTGCGGATAATTCAGTTCTCAGATGACGGCGCTGAGCCATCGTCCTGTCTGCAACCAGCCACACAGCATCGCAGAAACACTGATTTGTGACGTGAAACTGCTTAGTGTTTTAATCAGTTGTTATCACCTGGTCTGTTTGTTTCAGAGTAGAGGAGTCCTCTGTGGATAATTTGGCTCCTGGTAAAAACCTTCTGAACAATGAACACTGAAGGAATCCTAACCAGGAGTTCACACCCAGCACATGGGATAAGTTTCAGCTGGTTGCAAACTGCAGTCCTCACAGCGAGATGCTTCTAAATCCTACACACTGCTCTTTTAAATTGCCAAAAAGCAAGCAGCCATACCTAAAATCAAATCTTACAAAATAAGACATGTAAATGCCACCTTGTATTTGTGATGTGATTTTTAATATCCTTTGTTATCACCATGAGTTTTTTGTAATATTCCTAAGTAAACTTGAAGTTGTGATTTGTGTAGTTTTTGTCTTGGCTGTATTTATTAGTTATTTTTAAGAGGTGGTTGTTGCCAAGGCAGTAAGGCTTTGGCAAGTGTGAACCATGGCAACTGTATTCTTCTCGTCACGGTCACAGTGTTTACACCAAGGGCCTGTGTACTCTGGTGCATATTTAGGGAAGGATGGCTGATCTCAGCTACAGTCTCCTCCTCAGTGCTTCAAACATCTCTCAGCAGTCTGTGTCTGAATCATGCAGGAATCCTCAGTGATCCTGTCCACGGCGCTGGATGAGAAACTGAGAGAGGGAGAGCTTTGTTACGATGGCAGCTCTAATCACAAGCCTGATTACTGCTGCTGTAAATCATCATTTGTCTTTGCTTTTCTGGAAGCGTGTAAAAGAAGGAGAAAGATGGTTGCCCTGACAGCAGACACAGTGTTATTTGTTTTGTTTTTTCCACCCACCGCAGTTGTTGCAAGCCATGCATGCATTACCCTGATTATCCCACCCTTGTCCTTGAGTTTAATAAAACATATGAATCTGTACAAATGCCCAAGCTAATCGTCTCCCTCGTCTGTTCTCCAGGCGTCCTGTTTGTGCGGCTCAGCCTCCTGCCTCCTGTCGTCATGCTGCCCGTCAACGTACAGCTCCACCATCAGCCGGCTGGCCTTCTCCTTCCTGCTGCTGCTCGGGACCATGGTGTCTGTCATTATGATTCTCCCAGGCATGGAGGAACATCTTAAAAAGGTACATCAAATGAGACTAGATTAGATCAAATTTAATGGGCCACACTGGGCTGTTACATAAGACACCTTTAATTGTTTCATAAGACCCAAGTATCTTTGAATTTTCTCAGCCCACGTGTCATTTCCAATTCGAGACGAAATAGGAAAATAATTCAAATTAGTTTCATAAGGCTGTAACCCAGCAACAGTGACACTGTAGAGCAGCTGGACAGGATGTTCTGATTATGTGTTTATTCTTCTACCAGCAGTCTCTCTTTTTTAAAGATCATCCAAATTCAAAAAGCCTTCCAGTTGACCCAGTTTAATCCTTAGTTCATTGACCCATTATCTCCTTTGTGTGCTTCACACTATCAGATTCCAGGTTTCTGTCTTGGTGGCTTGTCCATACCTGGCATAGAGAACAAGGTGAACTGTGACATCATTGTGGGCTACAAGTCAGTGTACCGCATGTGCTTTGCCATGGCCTGCTTCTTCTTCCTCTTCTCCATCATCATGATACGAGTGCGCAGCAGCAAGGACCCCAGAGCCGCCATCCAAAATGGGTACGTATTGTGCACCACAGCCTCAGCACCACAGTCGTATACGATGAAGGCATACTGAACTCTGCTGGCCAAACGTGGGGGCTGCACCTCTAAGATTGTAGTATACTTGTTCTGTACTTCTGTACTTAGAATAACCTTTTCTCCTCTCAGATTCTGGTTCTTCAAGTTCCTGGTGCTGCTTGGCATAACTGTAGGCGCTTTCTTCATTCCAGAGGGCATGTTCACAACAGGTATGAAGCCCAGACCTGTTATCAGAGTCTTTATTTATCAGTTACTTTATTGCCAGGTTTCTATTTTATCTAAACCGAGCATACAAGTACTCTCTGATTAAGGTCAGACTGAGTCTTAATTGTGATCAGAAAGTCTGTGATTTAAATGTCAATTTTTATTATTTTATTTAGGCAAACTTTTTGTATGACTGCTTCTGTTCAGATAGCTTCTAATTTTTAGAGATGGATTATCGTCATTTTGGGTTCATGGTAAATAACTACTTGTGATCATCAAATAAAACTGCACTTCATGTTGTAGAAGAAATGTTGAAGAACTCGCAGTTGTCTCTTCTGATCTTCATTGTTCATGTATGAGCTAATCAGTTCATATATAATAACCAGAACTGACCATGTTGACCTACAATTACCTGCACTGATAGTTCTGCTTCATGGTTTGGTGTTGTAAATAAATGCCACTGTCATTGCACAGCCTAACAACCCTCTAAACCCAAATCCATTTCTGTCTGGTCTCAGTGTGGTATTACTTTGGCGCGGTGGGCTCTTTCATCTTCATCATCATCCAGCTCATCCTGCTGGTGGACTTCGCCCATTCCTGGAACCAGGTCTGGCTGGAGAAGGCAGAGAATGGAAACCCAAAGTGCTGGTTTGCAGGTAGAAGAACACACTCCCTCATTTACCCCACTAAACCTTTAAGTGCAAGTTGAGAAGTTAGTGTTTGTCCGATTTGAAAGGCAGTGCCTGTATTCTAGGTTTCAGAGCGCAGCATTGCTGTACTTTGTAGTTCTGCTGTGGAGGATCTCAGGGATGTGGAGGAAATGTATTTGACCAACATATCAGATAAACAGTCAGGAGCCAGCCCAATAGGAGATTTAAAAACTAAAAGCAAATGAGTAACAACATTTGTTTTTCTCACAGGTCTGCTTTTCTTCACCATCACCTTCTACGCCCTGGCTTTCACTGCTCTTGTGCTTTTCTACGTGTTTTATACCCAACCTGACGACTGCACCGAGCACAAGGTCTTCATCAGTCTCAACTTCATATTCTGCATTGTTGTGTCCATCGTGGCCATTCTGCCCAAAGTTCAGGTAATAGAAGACGGACGTTGATGACTATTTTTGGACTGAAGCTACTAACTGTTGATATTTTGTGCCCTAATCCTTCACGTATAATACTACGAATTTCAAAGACAAGCTTATATGAAATTAACATTGGTCCTAGCTGTGACCTTTTGTTATCTCTGCACGCAAGGACAAAATCACTTGACCGCTGAAGAGAGTTTTGTTCTACAGGCACAATGATTTATTTTCTGACTCAACCCCATACCATTATCTCTACAGGAGGTTCAGCCCAGCTCAGGCCTGCTCCAGGCCTCCATCATCACCCTCTACACCATGTATGTCACCTGGTCAGCCATGACCAACAACCCCAGTAAGTCCGATGAATCTGAGTCGCAACACAACTGACAAAAGAAACAAAAAACAAACCCCTGTAGCTGCAACTACTTTTCAACTTTTTTTAAACGTTGTTTTCTGTGTTTTCGAACTCAGACCGCAAGTGTAACCCCAGTCTGTTGAGTTTGGTCCAGCCCAGCAGTCCAACTCCAGCGCCAGGACCTGCACCTCCTACCCCAGCCCCTGGAAACACCCAGTGGTGGGATGCACAGGGCATCGTGGGACTGATCATTTTCTTGTTCTGTACTCTTTACGCCAGGTATGTTTCTTATATTGCTGGTGTTTTTAGGCTTCATGTTGTCATGATGATTTGCCTGTATAAGAATACACATTTAGAAATAGTCATGTGAGATGGCTGAAACAAAAAGCTTATTTGGGAATAGTATAGTTTACTTTTGCAACACATAGTAATATAATATAAGCAGAGGGAGGGCAACAACAACCCAAAACAGGAGGCAAAAGACGACAATAACACAGCAATCAGATAATTGAAGGAGTTGGAGAGGAAGTTACAAAATGAAAAGTGATTTTATTTACAAATGTAACACAAGGTTCTCCAAATGTGGGGGAGGAAGGGACAAAGTGGTTGTGCCAAATAAAAAAAGCCAAGATAACAAAACCAGGCCTCAACTCACCTCTACCTCTAAAATAAAACACAAACCAAAAACCTAACTCTCTTATCTATACAAATACATGGGTGGCAGCAACCTAGTGTTTCTACCACAAAATAACTATATGAAGGGGATGTATAAGGTACCCACTCACCTACTGTCCTCAACCTGCCACATACATTTAATTTCTAACAACTTAATTAAATGGGGCTGCCATGGCCCGTCTGCTAATCAGAAGATCAGTGGTTCGATCCCAGGCTCCTCCAGTCGATGTCAAAGTATCCTTGAGCAAGACACTGAGCCCCAAATTGCTCCTGATGGCTGTTCCATTGGTGTGTGAGTGTGTCAAAAAACTGAGTAGGCAGAACACTATGCTGGCTCCATGCATGCTTAAATGACTGTTTATTTAAATGGAGTCTTGTGGCCGTGGCAATAGCAATTTCGAGGCTGTTTCTAGTCACTCTTTAGCAAAAAAAAAAGTCTATTTCTGTAGGGATCCTTGTCATAATGTTATGTTGTCAGACACTTCCAATAACAAGCCGAGCCTGTCAGTGGTAGTTCAAAAAACCAAACCTGCTACAGCATAAAGAAAGACTGTGAGTTGACATAAGCCTCCAGGATAAAGTTCAACCTGAAAACATGGAAATCTTTATTAAGAAGAAATGATCAGCATGCAGAATTAGAAAGAGATGGTCGCTAACTTTGGTCCTCATTTGCTCTCGCTCGCCGCAGCATCCGCTCCTCCAACAACACCCAGGTGAACAAGCTGATGCAAACTGAGGAGGGCCAGGGTCTGACCGCCGACATGGTGGTCGAGGAAGACGGAGTCCGACGGGCGGTGGACAACGAAGAGGACGGCGTCACCTACAGCTACTCCTTCTTCCACTTCAGCCTCCTCCTGGCCTCCCTCTACATCATGATGACCCTCACCAACTGGTACAAGTGAGTATCTGTTTTTTGTTGTCCTCGGCAAACCCTTTCAGACTTGCTGCAAAACTGACTTCTCTCTGGTTTTGCTTTGGCTCACCAGGCCGAACACCGACTACGACACCATGCAGAGCACCATGCCGGCCGTGTGGGTGAAGATCTGCTCCAGCTGGCTCGGCCTGGGGATCTACCTCTGGACCCTGGTGGCCCCGCTGGTTCTCCCCGACAGAGACTTCAGCTAAAAACGGTGAAGTCTGACAACATGTGGCCACTCGCCTCTTGCTATTTGCACCTTGGAGAATGATAGCTTTAGCCTCAAATTGATTGATTTGCTTCCAACTCCACATTTAAATGCGGAGAATGTAAAAGTTGATAGCTTAAATGTTGATTGTTGTAGCTCAAGTTGAAACGAGCAGTTGTGCGGGAACATAAAAATGTTTGAGCTGAGCTTTAATCACACATTCCAGTTTTTCCACCTCAGGTTGTTTTTTATATTTTTTTTCTTCCACTGTTACAAATATTTTAACAGAGAGCACTAACTGCCTTTTACAGGACAAGACCAAATTAACCTTTCGGGGAACATTTTGATATTTTAGCTTTGGTTCACTACATGTATGTTAGCTGTTCCTACTGGGCTTTCACTTTGATTTTATGGAAAGGTATTCAGATTTTCTAGATTAACTCTTTCCTAGTTATGAATTTTATATGACACAGCTTTGTTCTATTGCCTGATTTTATAACAAGAGTGCCTTATTATATTTTTCACACAAGCTATTCAGGAGGAACGTTTTTGATATCTTTAAAGGGACGTTCTGTCTTCACTGTTAAGTTACTTCCTCAATATAGTGTATGTTCACTTTTCATTATAATCAATAAAGTTGACATTGTTTAATATCTTTAATCGGATTGTATGCAACATTTCTGTCCTGTAGGTGGGGCTGTTGTCCATCAAGTTAGACTCCCCTGTGTAGGATAGGTTTCATTATGCAGAGTGCATTTGTACATGTGTGTTGTAACCTGTTCTTTTTATACATTCGACTTTGTGAGTCAGCCCGTGCTTTCTTTAGAGGAGGCAAACACAATGTCATCAAGTCTGCAGCAGGGATTTCCAAATGCTTCACTGCCCTCCCTCCATTAATCACATGATCCTGCTAAAGTGTGATTTATTGTGCTCCTTCGATGCAGGATCCCCATACGCACAAACACACACACGCATTTGGCAAGTAATGCAGAGGGAATGTGTTTTCCCCTATCACAAGATCAGCATGAGCCGAGGGGCTGAACACAACACTTTTTACTTCACAATATTCATTCAAGACTTGTGTTGGGGAGGAACAACAAATGACCGGCCTCTGACGTCGTGCTTGGACATCCAGAAACATTACTGTGTACATTTCTGCCCAGATAGTCAAAATGTATTTTCCTAAACATGGGATACTCTTTATGACATCTGCTGCTTGTTTCGATTTTCTTATCTGTTCCTTTCATATTACACATAAAATCAGTTTACATGCATTATGAGCCATTACACTACAACCAGATTTTAGTTTCACTAAAAATCTGGAACAAAAGAAAATCACACAAGAAAAAAACATAGGGCAAAAATATAACTAAATATACGATACAAATATAAACATTTAGAGCAAAGTTGAGGAGGAGCAGCCATCTTGGTTGTATGCTGCAGATGCTGTATGTGCAGCAGATGTGTTTTGCAGTTACGTCGTGGTCCAATGAATGAAATGCATTTGCAACACTTCTAATGCACCACATAAACCACAGTGATGGAGTTAAGTAAGGAGACTCACAAACATTATTCAGTCTGTCATCATGTTTATATTAGCCATTTCCGGTTTGGAAGAGATTGTCATAGTCAGATCCACTTAACTTACCAAACTAATAACGATTAAAGGAGCAGTGTGTAAGATTTAGGCAGATGTAGTGCAATCTAGCGGTGAGGATTGTAGATTACAACCAGCTGAAACTTCTCCTGGTTAGAATTCTGTTAGTGTTCAATAATGGGTAACACTTTACTTGAATGTATCTACATAAGGGTAATCTCTCAAGACAGATTCTGCAATTTACATTGTAGAGGAAGAAAAAAAATCCTTTATTTATTTATTTTTTATACCAATGGATTTCCAGATTGACATAAGATATGACACTGTCATATCTATGACATGACACGGTCATGAACCTGTTATGAACATTATGTACATGTCATAAACGTTTATGACTGCTGTCATTAAGTGTCATTTGGTTTTTGTAATGACAAGTTGACATTGTTTGGGTTGTCTTGATTATGACAACATGACATTAACCAGGATGACATTACCAGAAGTTGTCTGTCATGACAAGTTGACATTAAATTTGTTTGGGATGTCCTTATAATGAGAGGTGCATTTCTTGTTAATGTCAACTTGTCATGACAAAGACATCTTCTGGTAATGTCACTTTGATTAGTGTCAAGTTGTCATAATCAAGACAACCCAAACAACGTTAACTTGTCATTACAAAAACCGAATGACACTTAATGACAGCAGTCATAAACGTTTATGACATGTACATAATGTTTATGACGGGTTCATGACAATATCATGTCATAGTTATGCCAGTGTCACGTCACCCTTATGTAGATACCTTCAAGTAAAGTGTTACCCAGTAAGGTTCAGGTGGTTTTTATTGGAGTGTCAGATATCAACAGAGGTCTCCTCCTCTCTGAAACAGGTGATTAAAAACCAGTAAAAACACTGAATAAAGCAGCTTCACATTACAAATCATTGGTTTTCCTACACTGTTTAGCATGTCAGAGATGGGTCATAAGCCTGGCACCCGCTGATGTGTGACCACCGTATTTCTCTGATTACTTAAGATCCAGATGTTCAGGAAGTAAGAGATCACTTCCTCTTCAAAACGCCAGACCTGCTGATTTAAACCAATAAAAACACTGAGTAAAGCAGTTTCACATTGAATGCTTTGATCACAGAGGAGCTGCCAACGTTGGTGACGGACATGAGAACACAAATGGCCCTATCCAGAGCCAGTGTTTGGTTTGTCTGTTCTGAGCTACTGTAGAAACATGGCAGTGCAGCATGGCGACCTCTGTGGACAAGGACCCGCTCCTTATGTAGGTATAAACGCCACATTCTAAGATAACGAAAACACGATTCTTATTTTCAGGTGATACACTAAATTAAACCTTTTTATTTCTGCCAATTTAACCCCATAAATCCTACACTCTTGACCTGCAGGTTTTACCCCATAAAAGATGATCCACAGAGGTAACATCAGGAAGCAGTCAGTGGAAGTGTTCCCTCTGAGCTGATAGCGTTCTTGACATACCGAACACCAAGCAGGCTAATTTGGCACAGTGACTGGTTATATCAGTAATCTCTCTCTTGGCCCATTTCTTTCTCCAGAAACCCAGCCTGCTCACACAGGTAGCATTTAATGGTTAGTGATGTGCACGTACACGCCTGCTACACCTTGGCACTGTCTTTACACACCCAGACCATCCAGAAACAGTAGACGTGAGCCAAGTTGTGATCCGCCCCGCATTGTTATGGCTGACGGTGACAGTGGTAGTCCCCGGCCCAGCTGTGGGCAGCGAGCTGACCTAATGCTGTTATATAACGCTGAATTAGGCTCTGATCAGTTGCATAAGCCAGTTATAGGATCACACTCTCATTGGGAGCTCATTATGTTCCTCTGCCTTGGGGGACCTTCACCATCACCACCATCAACAGCAACCGCACCTCTCCTCCGCGGAGGGCAGGAAACACCTGGCAACCAGGTAGAAAAACAAGCTAAATGGAGCCCTGACGCATGGAGGTTTTTATGGGCAGCCCCAGTAGTCTTCATTAGACAGCTGTATGATGTTTATGTCTCACTTGTTATCACAGGTTTAATAATAGTGGACAAAATCACACACATTCACAGAATACGATGTGGGTGTGATTAGATATTAGAAAGGAATATTTAACAATTTATTTTGTTTATTTTTGTGTGTTTAATTATACATTTTTGTCTACTTGTATGTTAAATGCTGTTTAAGAGACTTTGCCACACTGACAGTCAAAAATATTTATAAAAATAAAAGTGAACTTAATAGTAGGACATTTAATGTTAATTTAATATTAATAATAACAAAAAATATATGTAAACATCTTAATCAGACACTTTTACACCTGTTTTAATCTCAAATTAGCGCAGAAATGAAGCTTTTCTTACTATTTGTGATTCTAATGTTACTGTAAGGGGGCGGGGTCTCGCGGTAGTGCGCGTGGGTTTCAGGCAGCCGCGTGCAGCTGTGGCGGGATGTTGGTAGTGTCATGTCAAGCTAACCGGAATGAGACGCATACAAACCGGAAGTCAGGCGACTTTCTCTTCAGAATAACTGCGGAGAAATTTGACAACGGACAGGTTTGGTCACTTTTTATGAACACAGCAGCCTTGATTATTTTCGTATGACTCGTGACGCATTATATGCGACGTTATTAATTATTAGCCAGCGTTTCGTAGCTGTATTTCTCTTGTGTATGTACGCTTAATGGCGTTGTATTATTTTCACATTTGAATGTTAGCGTTGCGTTTATGTGTTCCCTGGCTTTTGTGGGAAAAGTTGTGCCCGGAAACGCTATGTTTCCCGTCAGCCACACATTGACAATGATGATGCTAGCGCGGTGGCAAATTGCAGCATCAACTTTCAAGAGGATTCATTCCGTCCCGCTACCACCACAGCATCTGGACCGGACCCCTCACAGTGTTAGCCGGTATCAGCTAGCCAAGCTAATCTAAGCTAAAACACGATATGAACAACTACAGCAGACGTGTACTGAGAGATTAGGGAGACAGGTATCAGCAGCTGGAGGTGTTATGGTGAATTAGCATAATTACAGTTGACTGAGGTGTTGTTGAAGATGCCAGTAGCATTGTGTCAAGCTAGCTGAAGTGAAACAAGGTGTTTCCGGTTTAGAATGTAGCCGTTGGCTATCGAGACACGACGCACTCAGTGAAGCTACGACCGAAAACAGTTGAATGTAGTCAGCAGTTAACGCTACATATAAGCTAAATAGCCGACTCACACACAGGAAGAGCGCATTTTGCTTCAGTATTAGAGCCCTGCTTACCGTCACGCCCCAAGCCTTGTATTTCCCTGCTTTTATTCTGAAGGCCATATGTGGACATTTCCTGCCTTGGCTTGACGAACCTGCGCTGACTTGACGCAGCTGGTGGAGCCGTGGCCGCACCGCAGAGAAGTGAAGTTGAGCATCCTGCAGGTAATGTAAGCTCACACATGCTGTCAGTGAGGCGTTGATGGGAGTATCAGCATGTATTTTGCAGTTTTATTTTATTATGATATGTTACAATGCGTGGCAGGACGGGTGATATTATTCAGCATGGTTTTCTTGTCGCTATCTGCTCGGAATGGTGAGATAATGGTAGCTAGCGTTAGGATGGACAGCGTGACCGGAGCTCAGAGGGAGTGATGTCCAGTGTCTGTGATGTGTCTTCGGCTAACATGTTTGAAGGGTGTCCAGCTACCTGAGCTCATCCTGGGCTTGTCCATTCCTAAAACTGGCTTCATTCATTGTTTGAGAGGGAGGAGGAGGTGGAGAGCTGCGGCAAGTCAGCCATAATTTTACCCAGCGAGACAGGAAGTGGAGAGATTTCTTGTTCAAAATAAACGTCTTGATTTTGCTTCTTTGAATAAAATGGGCTCAGGACGCAGTTGGGCGTTTAGGTCAGCTGAGATGATGTTGAAATACTCGTGTTAAAATACAGAGCAGATCCTTGTATCAAACACTAGCATGGGTAGAGATGCTTGGTGTTGTGATGCAGCTTCATTTTGAAAACCGGTTATTTGGGTGCTTTGATATTCCTGTGAGCTTGACGCTGATTGTAGTAACAGAGCTGCATGGCTCTGTCTCTGGTACTATGTAAAATACTGGAGTAGTCTGACTCCACGGCTGCTCAAATGTTGGCTTAATCAATATTGCCCAGTAGTGACGCTGCTGTTGCTTTATAACCCAGGGGTGCAGGTGTTATGTGTCTCAAATATATGCAGCTGTCGCCTGTCACCCGGTTACACCATGTTAAAATCTTAAAAAGACACTGTTACACACAGGTGTGTATCATATATATGTATTAGTAATGGCTTTGGGCTACTCAGCAGTTGTGTTGCAGTGGGCTACATCACCGCTATGCGCCCCGTTTGTAACAAACCAGCCTCCATTCAAAAAATTGGCACTTTAATATATTTTATTAATTCGCCTGTGAGCGCGCATGCCCGCTCTGAACATGACGTTTTATAAACTATTGGTGCTTTTTTAGCAAATATATCACCCACTATCTAGCACTTATTTCACCCATGGTTTTATGTCGTCCAGCCATTTTTGTGCACTTATTTTGCACTGTGAGAACACGCACTAAAGATCCATATTTACTGTGTTTATGAATGCCGAATGAACAAATAGACCCTCGATGTATATAAAACACTAATATGTATGTTTTTTTTATACATGCATCTTGTTGAGAAGCACATTTAGGCTAAAATACGTGATTCGTTTAACGGACTTTGGCAACAGAAAACGAAACCTATGGGCTCCAGCACTGCCTGCATAATGCCTTCCTGCTGCTCGGACATTTCTGCCTAACCTGCTTGCAAGGAATCCAACATGACATCATGCGTGAGAAACAGTAGGCTACCGTTCAGGGCGGATTTTGTGTGTGTGTGTGTGTGTGTGTGTGTGTGTGTGTGTGTGTGTGGGGCTGCAGGATCAAATCGCCGATAACATTACATAATCACAACTGAGCTTAAATTGGTGGGCTGATTTGGATGTCAGTGTTGTGGCCAAGTGGATAAGCTTTACCCATGTTTCTGTGGATTTTGGCAACTCCTGTGGTTTTACTATTTGTATTCCCGGTTGAACTCAAAACAAATATGCATGATGATGATGATGGTGGTGGTGATGATGGTGTGCCTACAAAGAGCAAGAGAATGACCTACTGTACGGATCAACGCTGCAGCCCCAAAACACTCCTCATTGCAATGATGTCTGCTGGATTAGAGGGCATCTGAGGACAGCTGTGGCTGGCAACATTGCTCTGTTACAAAAACACTTGATACAACAAGGCTTTTTTAATATCCATTTCCTCCATGTGAACTTGATTGGTTTATCATAAGATTTAGAGTAAGATCATTTTCCAAAGGCTCAGAACTATATCTGAATGGGTTTACTGTATTTGATCAATATGATGCATGGGAGGGAGGGAGCATTGTCTGCAGATGATAATTATTTTCATTGATGAATCTATTAATCATTCTTTTGTATTATTCTATTTTAGAAAAACATAATAAAACAGCAAATCCTGACATTAAGGAAGTCAGAGCCTGCGAATATTTCACATTTTTTCCTCAATAAATGATTAAAAATCAGTTATCCAAATTGTTTTGATTAATTTTTCTGTTGCTTAATTAACAGATTAATTGACTTGATATTAGTTTTGATTGATCATTTTAGATCTTGTAACACAAGAAAGGTTTCTTGTAAAAATAAAAAAGAAACAGAGCAAATATTTTGTTGTCACGATGGCAGCAATGCACCGCTGTACATCACAGACACAGTCAGATGCATATGACTTAGAGTACAGTGATTTCTCTATCATTGCACAGTTACAATAAAGTCTTAACTTGAACCTTAGGCTTCCTGTCAGTCCATCATGTCGTCCTGCTGTCTCACTCCATCGTGATGGGGTCACATTTTTGCCATTCTTTTGTCAGACTGAGAATTTCTATCCTCAAACCAAGGCTCCATGGAAAAGCCAGTTGCTGTGACTGTGGTTGTTTATGATCATTTTTCTTCCCCTGGAGTTGTCCTTCACCTCAGGAAGGATGCACAGGGACACAACACTCCACAACTCTGTGTTCCAGCAGTCAGGTTTGATGCTGTGTCCCTGCATCAATCACTCACACAGATGATGAACAGGAGGCAGCTCCTGTCGTTTGTTGTTGTAGACAGACTGGTCAGGGAAACACTGACCTCGTGCATCTTTTCAAAGCACAGAATATATTCTTCATGTCAGAGATCTGTCTGGAGTACGATGAATATACATATTTAAAGGAGCACGCCGCTGATTTCAGCCATTACGATCAGTTTACTCGCCATGAGATGTACCACTAAGCCTGAAAAAATGGTTATATAATGTCTCGTGTGGCTCTGAAGGAAGGTTTTCCAAGTCTGGAAAAATAAACCAGATGATGTCATCAGTGAGGGTCTGACAAAGGATGCTATTGAGTTGCAGTACGGGAATTGTAGCATCCGATGCTTTTGAGTTTGACCCATACTCGGGACGAGAAGTCAGGGTAGTTTGACTCCTGTTTTCTTTCTCTGATACTATTTTGAGTAGAGTCGGGTATCGTTTGGATCTTATTGATTTTGGATCTTAGTGATTCTTGAGGGGTGTGGTCAAACAGGCCGCATGCTTGTGAGTAGAGCGTGTCGCGCAAAGACAGACGCAGGCAGGCTCGTTTACTTTGTAGATGAAATGGCGGTCAATCCTAAAATAACACGAGTTGAAACACAAAAGAACATCCATGCTTCTTGGAGAAAAACATACAGCGGGGTTGAGAATAATTACTGGTGTTATAAGAGTAAAGCTCAGTGCGTTGTGTTTGTCGTAGCGAGCGTGTCGTTGGGCGACAGAGAGACGGCGGCTGCACTGACAGCAAACAGGTGTTAGCAATCAGAGCAGAAAGAGCCTTACCCAGACTTGTGTGCTAGCAACTCTTATTAATCTTATCATAGTGCGGAGACAAAGCTTAATATATTGCTTAATGCAGTCTTGTCCAGTCTGGTAAGAGCGCCAATGTGTAGTTGTTTAGGCAGGCTTTTACAAGCACCTGGTACTTGGCATTTTGGATTCAACTTCCCAGTACCCAGCCCCACTTTTACATGCCTCAGCTTTGTGGAAGTGCAGTACTGGAGTGCCCCTTTAAAATGGTGCCATGCAACTTGTGATTCAGCTTTGTATCCGTCTCTGCTAATCGCTCATTGTTTTATTGATGGTGCTGATCTGTCTCTGTAACAGCCATGTTGACCATTGCTGCTCGCATGAACTCCTCATTCTGACACCTATTTAATGGCCTCAAACGGAAAATATAAAATGCATAACTTCCTATATGCTAGAGTGGACTTCCATTTCCCATTAGTGTGAATCTCGTGATCAGGGTATGGGTTGAATCATTATTGTTTTATATAAATAAGTGATGAAAAGTGAGTATTGCCAAAAAATATTGATGGCGCCGGCCGTAATGTGTTTTGCCAGTACTTTTCTCCAGAACAACTTACCAAGCTCTTGATGTGTCATCCAGTGTGTCAAGCATAAACAAAACCATCATCACCGCCATTATCGACATTCCTGTTTGTTTGTTATGGATCCCTGTAGGTTAGAGTTGCCTCTATCAATCGGGATGTTTCATGGGGGCTAAAGTGGGAGCATAATGGCCTTCTTGTGGCACTGATAGGCCCCGAGCCCAAATGGCTTTCACTGTGTTTTCCACTGGAGCCAGAATGGTGTGTGTGTGTTTTTTTTGACACTGGACATGAGCAGCGTGGCTCAAAGGGCAACCAGTCTCGGAGTTAACCCTGCCCGGCTCATAACACATACAGTGGTGGTATGGTAAACATTTATGCGGTGTGCGGAGTCTCAGAGCGTGTCCTGAAGTCCCACGGCGTGCTTTTGCATTATGAAACGGCATACACTCTGGGTTTTTGCTACGGCCCTGTCAAAGGTCCCTCTGTTCAGCCAAGGGCAGCAGAGCCGGTGAGGACAACATTGATATTCATGCAGCTCGTTCTTATGGAGTCACCAGCGGGCGCCTCATCCCTCAAATGTCAGTCATTACAGTGTCCTTGGTAGCAGGTGAAATGTGAGGGTACTTGTATCTCTAGAGCTTCACTGATGTTGTCTGTATCACTCTTCCAGGCACTTAGCGCAGGGAGAACATGCCAAGCACACATACAATCTGAACCTTATTGAATCATAAACAATCTTCTCGGTGGGAGAGTAGAAATGTATTTACCCAGGAGAAAATGTGGAATTGTCCTTTATAATCATGCCTGTCTGAACCCTGTGAGGACAAAGTGAATGTATTTATGACAGGAAATACTATATTATTAACCACGTAGGTATTATCTGGCTCTCCTTAATTCAAATATTTATGTTACTTGAGTTAATATGTAATTGAATTACACTGCAGTACCAAAAAATGTTCCTT